GGCATGCTAAGAGGTAGAATTTTGAAAAAGCTAGCATTTTTCACAGAATGCCAAGGGTATATCTACAAAGAAAAGTATAACTTCATGAAAATCTCCTTCAGCCTGTAATAATAATAGTAATAACAGCTAGAATTTACATTTATGGCACAGTAGATAATTATAGTATAGTATATATAGTACATTATAGGAATTATAGTATAAGTATATTTTACTAAGAACTTAATAGGTCCTTAATCATTTATCCTGACAAAACAGGTAAATTTTATGCTTATTATCTCCATTTTATGGTGGTCATATCTAGTACCCATTCAAGTTTTGGTAATCTAAACTGTGCTCCAGTGAATCAAAAGGATAAATTTGTTTTTATGTTTGGACCAGTGAGGTAATGAAGAGCAATGAATTATTTCCCTTGTAGGGACCTCCTGCCCCCCAGAACAAGTACAAGGGTATTTCAAAAAGATGGTGGAAAAATAATATGTGAAGAGGTAACACAAATCTTTCCATGACCTTTTTGAAGTACCCTCATATAATAGCAAGTAATCTCAAACTGACAAAAAATGATTAATAGCCCATAGAGGAGTACTGAGCAAACAAAAGAGATTCAAATTTAGAACCACATAATCTAGAAGACAGTTGGAGGAACATATCACATCCTAACTGACTCCAGAGCATCTATGAGAAATACTCCATTTGACTTCAGAATAAAATACTAGAAAGAAAGGAATTTTGAAAGAGTTGAGGAAGAAGGAGAGAGATCCTGCTACATGAAAGGTGGGCAGGTGGGGTGGGGTCTCTCTGGCAAGCTGACATGAAGTATAGATAACCATCACTGTAGATAATCTAAGTGTGTCTCTTACTGGTGAGTTTAATATTCTGCATGGCCAATTGTTATATAAATGAACTGTCTAGTTGTGATGAATTAAATGCATCTTATCAGAATGAATCTTATCAGAATACACTTTACTGTGTTTACTGACACATAGGTAAATAAGTTACCTATGCCCAAATGTAAGGTTGGAGAAGCAGTACTGTATCAAGGCAGGAGCACAAGCCTCACTGTCAGGAGATGGGTTTTCTTTAGATTATACCTTTAATTCACTGTATGACCTTGGGAAAACCATTTAATTCCTCTAGGTGTACTTCTCATCTGTAAATTGGAGCTCATCTGCCTCGCAAACCTCTCAGTTATAGGGTTTCTTCCTGCTAACTCTGATTAATAACAGGTTATCACTTAACTGAATGTTTAAAGAGTGTTAAAGCTATATCACAATGAAGATAAGATTCTTGATGTCAAATTAGTGAAAAAGTATATTACTGAAAATTCTAATAACCACTTTATTAACTTGATGATTTATCTAATGTATTTGCAGAAAAATAATGAAGTAGCTATTCTCAATTTATTATAATCTACGTACATTCAAGTTCTCATAACTTTCTAAATGTCTGCATTTGTTATCAAACTCTAATTGAACTGGTTATCAACTAATACTTTCTCCCAATGGGCCAGATTAAAAAATGTTTTTTCTGATTTGAGATGGATTAAATGGTCACTGCAGAAAATTGAGAAAATACAGAGAAGCATAAGAAAAAAATCTTCCCAAATTCACAATCTTGAAATATCACTATTAGTATTTTGATATTTATCATCCAGCCTTTATTTCCCCCTAGGAATACATGTAAGAAAGAATTGTGTAAGAATGTGTACACTTTGTTTTAAATATGATTTGGAACATATATATAATTTTCTATTCTGATTTTTTTCACACATTATTGAGCAAGCACTTTTCCATATTATTTAAGCTTTTCAAAAAACATTTCTCATGGCTACCTAATATAAGAATATACTAGCAAATTTAACCATTCTTCAATTACCAAGCATTTAGTTTGTTTCTGACTCTTGATAAATATTTCCAAATGACTTTTCAGAATGAGTTTCATTCTCCACAGCAGTTTAGGAGAGTACCATTTCACCATTCCCTTGCAAATACTAAACAATTTATTTAAAATCTCTGTTAAAATAATCCAATCAAAAAATGGGCAAAGGAGATCAATAAACATTTTTCAAAGGAAGACATACAAATGGCCAAACAGGTACATGAAAAAAATGCTCAGCAGCACCAGTCATCAGAGAAATGCAAATCAAAACCACATTGAGATATCATCTAACCCCAGTGAGACTGGCCATTATTGAAAAGACCAAGAATAACAAATGCAAGGATGAAGGGAAAGGGAAACTACTCTACACTGTTGGTGGGACTGTAAATTAGCATAGCCATTATGGAAAACATTATGGAGATTTCTCAAACAACTACAGATAGAGCTACCATAAGATCCCCAATCCCACTACTGGGTATATATCCAAAAGAATGGAAATCTTCATGTCGAAGGGATACCTGCACTCCTATGTTCACTGCAGCTTCATTTACAATAGCCAAAATATGGAAGCAACCTAAGTGTCCATTGATGGATAAAGAAAATGTGGTACATATACACAATAGAATACTACTCAGCCATAAAAAAGAATGAAATTCTGCCATTTGCAGCAACATGGATGATGCAGGAGAAAATTGTTAAGTGAAATAAGCCAAAGAAACAGAAATACTGCATGTTCTCACTCATAACTGGCTGCTAGGAAGGAAGGGAGGGAGGGAAAGTAGGGAAGAAGGAAGGAATGAAGAAAAGAAAGAAAATACCACAACAATATGTTGAATTTTCAAAAGAGAACAAATCTAAGAATACTAGAGATCGGGGGAGGAAAGAAGGGGGTTTGGGAAGTGATAGATCAGGCAAAGGGCATAAAGAAATATCACGATTTGTAAGGATGAATATGCTAATAATAAAAAAATTAAAAATAAATCTTTGTTAACCTCACGAGTGACCAAACCACTTTTGTTTTTATTTGCATTGTTTTGCTTAGTAACACTGATTTTTTTTAATGTTTTAATAATTTGTATTAATTCTGAGGATCATTCACATCCTTAATTGACAGACTGGATTTACTTTTAAAAAATCTCATTAAAAATAGCTTTTTTAAAAAATAAAGGTTTAGAGGCCGGCCCAGTGGTGCACTGCTACAGTGCGCAGCTTGGGAGCGCGGTGGCGCTCCCGCCGAGGGTTTGGATCCCACATACAGATCGGTTCCTGCTCACTGGCTGAGCGAGGTGCGGGCGCAGCACCGAGGGTTGCGATCTCGTTGCCGGTCCTGGTCCGGTACGGGTGCGACACTGAGGGTTGCGATCCGTTGCCGGACATGAAAAAAAAGACAAAAAAAAAAGGGAAAAAAATAAAGGTTTATAAGAGTTCCTATAGGAAAAAGTGTCCTATCAACTCTACAGCTGTATTTTTTTAATTAACTTTTTTTGAGGTAATTGTGGTATCACATGCAGTTTTAAGAAATAAGATAGATCACCACGTGTACTCTTAATCTAGTTTCCCCTGATGGTAACATCTTGTACAACTATAATGCAATATCACAACCAGGATATTGACATTGATATAGCCAAGTGACAGGATTTCCATCACCACGAGGATCCACGCCCCATTCCTTGACCCCTAGCAATTATTATTCTATTTTCCATTTCTACAATTTTGTCATTTCTAGAATGTTACATAATGTTGTATACAGAATTATACAATATGCAAGCTTTTGAGATTGGCTCTTTCATTCAGCACAATTTCCTGCAGGTTCGTTCAAGATGTGTTCATCAATAGTGTCTCTTTTTGTTTCTGAGTAGTATTCCATAGGATGGATGTACCAATTTCATTAAACATTTATCGTTGAATTTTAAAGACTATTTCATTAATATATTTGCTTGATTTCCGGGGCTGGAAGGAGGAAAGAAAATAATCACTATTGAGGAAGTCATTCAGTCATTTCACCAACATCCACTGAGAGCAGAACATTGGGCCGAATATCCTATGCACTTGATTACAAAAACGACTAAGAAACAAATAAACTCAAAATTAGATAAGTAGCTATGCTAAAATTGAAACCCAGGTCGGTCTAGGTTTCAAGAAACAAGAACACGAATAGGAACACTTTAACATTAATAACAGCGAAATTACAATTTCGCCAGGTTTAATTATAAAACAAACTAAAACTTGACGTGTCTGGTTAGTCAATAAGAGCATTGTAACCACTGGATTACATGTTTACTAAGCCACGCCTTCTATCCAATTTTAAGACCAACCGCTAACAAAAACCGAACTTTAAAGTAGCACGTGAGGAGGGTGCCGCAGATCAGGAAGCGTCAGAGTAGCTTTCTCTTCCCGTCTCCAACAGTGCTGGAGAGCATGCTTGCATTGGCAAGGCTGGTGCCCCTGAAGAACCCTAGCCCTCTTGCCGATTTCCTCTGGACCTCAACTGCCCCACTCGGAAGTATTTGAAGATTTGATTTTAAACAAAACAAAATTAGGCCGGTAGTGCACTATAATAAATTTTCCTACAACGTTGACAGTATGTAGACTGAGACGCAAACCAGACATCGGAAGGAAAAAAGTTGTTTATGGTGAGTTCAAAGTAACTTCAATCAGCCCGTACCCCGCCCTCGCCGACTCTATTTCCCACTTATGGTGCAATATTAACAAAAACGAAGCACACGCCGCACTGAGAAATCCCCCTTGACTCTGGACGACTTCTAGCCTGCAGCTCTAGGTAAGACGCTCACGAGGCTTTTGTACGAAGTTCGAACGTTGAGCCTTGACTGTGCGACACTCAGCACGCTCCGGACCAAGAAGCCGAAAACTGCAAGGAGAGAACGAAATTTTCTAATCGGGTCAAGAGCCAACAAAACAAACGTCCACACCCAAGAATTAGGTTGGCTTCCAGGCTGAGGCTGCTGAACCAGGAGCTAGCGGAAGTGACGTAAGGAACACCGGAGGAGGCGGGGCCGTCGGGGAAGCGCGCCCAATCGGAGCCCGGGAGAGGGCGGCGGGGGAGGGCGGTGGCGGCGTCGGCGGCGGCGAGGCGTGGGCCTGGGCGCGCGAGAAGGCGGGGCCTGGGCGCACCACTGGCGGGGACTGGCCTCCTTCAGCGGCTGGAGGCGGTCACTGGTAGTGGGCTGGGGGCTGAGGCGAGAGGGGCCATGAGGAGTGCGAGGGAGTCCAGATCCCGCAGCCCGGCACTCCTCCCTCGCGCGGCGGCGGCTTGGGGGCCTCTGGAGTAATCGCTGCCTTTGTTCCGAGCGCCTCGTCCCTCCCCTCGCCCCAGCTCCTCACGCCGCCGCGCTTCGGCCGGCCCGCCCTTGGTCTCCGAAACCCTGTTCGGCTCGTGCCGCGCGGATGCGGCTGCCGGGCCTGGGTTTGGGCTTTGAGCGGGCGGAGAGGAGGAGCGGCAGTGCCTGGGCGGCATGCGATGGGGAACTGCTGCTGGACGCAGTGCTTCGGGCTGCTCCGCAAGGGAGCGGGGCGGCTGCAGCGTGTAGGAGGCGGCGGAGGGTAAGCCCGCTGGGGGAGGGGCCGGCCCCCGTTGGCTCCTCCTATTCGGCCTCTCGCTGGGAAGACCGCTGACACTGTCCCCTACCGGCTGAGAAGGGGCCGGGAGTCCCGCCACCTTTACCGCTTAACAGGCCCTGGTCGGGGTGTGGTGGGCGGTCTCAGGGCCTCCTCGGGAAAGAGCAAGAGGAGGGGGCGGAGCGTCGTTCCTGCCGCTCGGCAAGACTCCCGCTGGGCGCCCTGTCACGTGGGAAAGGAGTCACGGGAGGCATCATCTCGAGGATGCACGGAGCACCGTCTCGGTAATGGGCAGTAGGATGGGCTCCACAGCAACCTGGCCACACCCTACGTTGAGTTTGGGTTTAATGCCAAAGCTAGTATCTCTGTAATTTGATCCTCTTTAGCCCTGACAGCAGGTGAGGGTCTGGCTCCAAAGTTGATGCTGCAGATGGATTTTAAGTAGAAGTCATTTGGATGATGGAGGGAAATAACGTTCCATTTACTGATGAAGTCTTTGATAGGTCCAAAGACTTAACTGAATTCCTGCGTTTCCTGTGGGTGCTGTTAAGAGAGGCAGTGTGTAGTTTTTTCATATTAATTTTTTTGGAATTTCGAGAGGAATGCTATACTCTGCTACTCACACAGTCTATAGCACTAGGTAAATTGCAGTATTTCTGAACTTCTCTTGAGTAAAACTGGGATACGCTTAGGTTTTTCTATCCTCACCATCCACGGAATAATAGAATTTCATAATTATTCTGTTTTTGGTTTTTATTTCATAGGGTATTGAAAAATTAGGACACATTCCTTTGGAATTGGTTTTGTAGTTGTTATTAAATATCTCTCAGGAATTCAAACCTAGAATTGAAAATCTGAACCCAAGACATTTGTGTAAGGAATGACTGTTTTGCACATTATGAAACAGATTGCTAAATTTTCAGGATCTATCCCATTTAACCAACATTATTAGATAATAAGGTGCTCAGCATAAACTGAAACCAAATGATTTATAATTTGAATCTTTTGGTAATGGAACTCTTATGTAATAGGATTCACTCATTTATAATTTGAATCTTTTGGTAATGGAACTCTTATAAAATATAATAGGATTCACTCATTTATTCATCAGGCATTGTGTGTCACCTCTCTGATAAAAAGTAGTTAAGGTTTTGCACTACATGTCTCTAGAGTGGAAGAGTAAAGACTTGTAGATTTTGAGCTGAGCTTAATATTTTGGTTTCCCTGATTTATGGGCTATTACAGGGGGATTAGACGGCTCTCTTGCCTTGTCAGCCAGAATCTAATTTACTTCAAATTTGGGGGTGGACGCAGCTATATATATATATAAAACCCTTGGCGTGGTGTCGCCTGCACCTCGCTCAGCCAGTGAGCACACCGGCCATCCCTATATAGGATCCGAGGCCTTGCGCTACCAGTGCCGCTGCGCTCCCAAGCGCCGCACTCTCCCGAGTGAACCACGGGGTCGGCCCCGCAGCTATATATTGAAGCTTCTTAAATAGGCTTTCCTAGGGCCGGCCCCGTGGCTCACTTGGGAGAGTGCGGCGCTGGTATTGCCGCGGTCGCAGGTTCGGATCCTACATAGGGATGGCCGGTGCACTGAGTGTGGTGCAGATGACACCGTGCCAAGGGTTGCGGTCCCCTTACTGGTCAAAAAAAAAAAAAAGACAGGCTTTCCTAAAGACTAGATGCCCCGCAATATTTGGTTTTATTATTATTTGTAGTTTCCTTGTAGGGTATTAAATTTTAATTCAAAAGAAAGGGGTCTTATCTTCTAAATGTATAAGCAAAACATTATATATGTTTAACTTTTGGGCTACGTTATTGTTGTCTCTGCGGGATTTTTGTTTTTTCATGGTGATTTTACAAACTGATTATGATTTTCTTAAGAGTATAGCATTAAAATTGTAGATTCTACTCCCTGAGCACATGAACTTGACATCATACAGAGTGGCAAGAGGAAATCAGTGAATCAGAGTGGGGTGTTAATTATAGGTATGCCCTAAAAACGTAAAAGTTGGATCTGTACTCTCTTTGGGCAAAACTGCTTGCATAAGTCCTGTTTAGGCAATGAGAGTTGGTGGATTGTGGACACTGTCATCTAAAACCATATAATGGTGATATCGATCCTATTTCTTTTAATCCATAAATACAAATTTTGACATTTCCCTTACTTGCATCTTCTGATTAACTTATTGTTTAACATCAGTTTTGATTTTGTTTTAGGAGCTCTCAGTAAGCATGTGTAGATGGGTGGATATAGTTATTTACACAATAAGGTTAAACTTTGCCTCTCATTTAGTTGCTGGGTTTTTTTTTTAAATAACCTGGTAGTTTTGATTTTCTTTCAGGCATAGGCCTGGATAGTCAACTAGTAGTTCTTCTAAGTTTACTTACTTCTAGGTCAAAAAGTTTAGAAGTAATCACAAAAACTTGGTTTTGTATGTCACTGTAGTAACCACAGGTAGAAGCATAGGGCATCCTGGGACTTTCTTGGGCTGATTTAAGCTGGACTTCACAAGGGTGCTCAAGGCCAGGTTTGTTAACCTTGTAGATTTTCCACGAGTATCTCAAAAGCAGATCACTCAATTTACACTTTCCAATCTAAAAACCAGAATTACCATTTTTTTTAATTTATTAAATACTAGAGAACTCTAGTATATTATATACTAGAATATCTGTCAGTCAAAATATCAATATCAGTGTTGGGTATGTTGGAAACCTTACTATGAATAAAGTTATTTGATGATTAAAGCAGAGGAATTAAATATCTTTAAGGAATAAAATTTAGACATTCTAGTGAGTCATCCTTCTTACAGAGTTTTGCCTCCCAATACGTTCTAGAGGGCTCCGTCTGCTGGTAAGTTCCCCTGTTCCTCTGGGCAGTACTAGAAATATGTATAGACTTTTATTGTATCCCTTAGTTTTTTCTTTCTCAGATTGAAGACCCAAGTATGTTTTGTTTTGTTGTTTTTTGATTCTCATCTTTATATTACTGTATAATTCTACACAGTGTTTCCACTTAAGTTGTACTATAGTTTTATATAAAGCTATCAAGTTTTGTATCCTTCTCAATATTTAACATTGATTGGTCTTTTTGGCTCCAACAGCAGTTGCCTTCTGGCAATAGTTTACAAAGATTTGCCATTTCTTTCTAGTAGAAATGATTTTAATAATAGCTGCCAGCATTCAGTTACTTCCTATGTGCCAGACACTGTTTCAGGTACTTTATGTTATCTCATTTATTCATCACCACAATCCTATGAGGAAGGTAAGCTCTATTATATACTTTATAGGTTGAAAACTGAAGCTTAGAATGTTTAACTGGCCCAGGATAGCAGAGCTGGGATGGCAGCTTAGGTCCCTCTGAATTCAGAGCCCTTACCCTTAACTACTAATAGCTCATGGTTCTTAATCTGGATAAACAATTGGTTGTTATCTCTCAGTGCATTATCTTGTACTTTGTCACCAGAATATCTTATGAATATATCTCAACAGCTTGACTCTTTATTCTGTGTTGTAAGCTATTCTTTTTTTTTTTTTTTTAACAAGTATTCACTTCACCTCTGCAACACCAATTTTACATTCTTATTTTCCTGTTCCTCTCCTGGCTATTCTTACTCTATTTAATTCCCTTCACACATATACTACCTACCTCTGAAGAAATTTTATCCTTTTCTGTAATTTCAACCACACCACTTCCAAATTTCATCTGCAGGCACCTCTTTTCAGTTGCCTGATTGAAGAGATTCAGTTGGATGTATATGTATTTTATTCAGTCTCCTTATACATACTGAACCTTTTCCTTCCTATGTGACTTCTGCTCTAAACATTGCCTTTCAAATTGCCTAGTTAGCGGCTTCCAGACTGTTCTCCCTGTTCCCTCTCTCACACTTCACCCCATCCTCAATTCTTGTCACTGGATGTATTAGTTCATTTTCTGTTGCTTTTAACAGAATTCCTGAGACCGGGTAATTTATAAAGAAAAGAAATTTATTTCTTACAGTTTTGCAGGCTGGGGAAGTCCAACATCCAGGGAACACATCCAGTTAGGGCCTTCTTGGCAGTGATTCTGTGCAGAGCCCTGTGGCAACACGGCATATCACATGGTGAGCATGCATGAGCAAGAGTTCACATGCTCATTTGCTCTGCTTATAAAGTCACCATAGCCTCTCCCTGATAACCCATTAAACCGTTAACCCATTCCTCCATGAGTGGATTAATTCATTCACAAGGGAGCAGTCCTCATGATCCAAGCACCTCTTAAAGGCCCTACCTTTCAGATACTATAATCAGGGCTGACCCCGTGGCGCACTCGGGAGAGTGCGGCGCTGGGAGCGCAGTGATCTCCCGCCGCGGGTTCGGATCCTATATGGGAATGGCCGGGTGCGCTCACTGGCTGAGCATGGTGCAGGCGACGCCACACCAAGGGTTGCGATCCCCTTACCGGTCACGCAAAAGACCAAAAAAAAAAAAAAAAAAATTGCTTCAGATACTATAATCAGATTTCTTACCTGCTTGACACTGTTACAATAGGGATCAGGCTTCAGTGAGTTTTGGGGGAATATTCAGTTCACAGCACTGGAGTTATGCTTTCTAAAACTCATACTGGATCATGCTATTCTCTTGCTTAATGACTTCCATCTGTTTCCTATTTCCTACAGCTAAATTTCTGTCTTTTTTTCTTTTATGGCAGCATAATGAATTGCATGGCATTCAAATGTGCAACATATGTCCATTTATGTACTCAGGATTATAGCAGTTCTGCATATGGATATCTATAATCTCACTCTTTGTTCTCATTCAGGATGTAGAGGTTGGAAAGATGTAGGGGCCATTCAGAAGGTATAATCTAGATAAAATCTAATTTTCTGAACATCCATTCTTTCTAAATTTGTCTTCATTAGAAAGAGGCTTATTGAACAGTAAATATTACTTTACTGTTACCACCTGTATTAGTCAGGGTTCTCCAGAGAAACAGAATG